TATATATATATATATATATATATATATATATATATATATATATATGAAGACATTACAGTACATTATTGTAGCAAATAAGTAAGTTATTTAATATATATATTAATTTTTTTTAGAAAGTCAAAAAAACTTTTTTAGAAAGTTTTTTTTTTTTATTCCATATCATTAAATAAGATCCATTTTTATAATGCACCAAAGCTTAACCAAATAACCAAAAGTCAGGATCCGTTTTGAAAAACAATCAATTCTAAAAAGGAGAAATTTAGACCACTTCACGGCTGTTTTTAACTGTATAATTCTTGTCTGCACAGCATCTACTGTAAATGTTTCATTGTATCTAGCCTAAAATATTCCTTTAAATCAGCAGTAACACATTTGGTTCAGTACAACAAATAACAATGTGCACTCCATGTACAATAAATTACAAAAATTGATTTCAAGGGAATGATAAACATGCAGGTGTTCATTTCAATATTTCCTTCCTGCTCAGCCCACTTTTTGGGTTGTAGGTGTGAGGTTGTCATGGATTATACTGTGGATTATACATGGACTTCATTGTCCGAGCTTTGCTGTCAATTATGGTGTAGGTTCTGTTGGAATTTCATGATCAGCACTTTTCATTCCAAGGTGGCAGATTGACGGCATTAGCCAAAGTTGACCTTCCACAGTGTTCCCTTCAGACAACAAGACCAGTCATTCACATTTGTACTGTCCAGTAACCCTGGCCCGAGTTCACATTCAGATACGCCTCCATACTTTTTGCACCAGGCAACAAGAAGTAGTGAACAACATTAATGTGGAAATGTTGTGGATTATGATCTTCATCAGAGAAAATTCATACAGAACAGAGAATGTGTTGATAAGTAAAATTCTGTTAATGGACTAATGATTAATGTAAAGCTCACATTCTGGGAAGATTTGTTGGCATGCTGATGTTGTCGCAAACCTGGCTGCGTACACAGAAAAATCCATCTGTTGCAGTTAAAGGCATTTTGTGTTGCAGACATATTAATGTCGACCTCACAAAGGGTACATGTCATGGGACCTTTCTGTTTCCATAAAACGCCACTTATGCCTGCACATGAAATATATCAGCCATGCATCAGTCCAAAAAGTTTTGAAAGCATCAAATCATTTGCAGTTGGGTGCGGAGTCTTTGTTTCTGAGTAAATGTGCATGACTGTAAAAGTGGTGCCTGTGATTTGCACCAAAATGACAGCAAATTTCTATGACCCAAACCCCAGCACCCCACAGGAAACAAAGAACAGAATCTGAGCCTTTCTGACAAGCATGTTTTCTTTATGATTTATCATCTGTAATAATCAGGACCCATTATTTCTACCCAGTACAACATTTTAAAACACATTATTCATTAATAAGATGAAATAAGAGACCATGAGAATGAACAAGATGTTTTCTGCGATTTAAAAAAGTCAAACTAATCAGGATTTTGGGGTTAGGTTTTTGAACAGTGGTCCTAATCGGCAGATCCTAATCGAGAACCAGAAGCATGTCTGGTTTTCCAAGAGTGGGATATGGACTGGAGAAAAGGATTGGGACTAGGAAAAGGAGGTGAGGTTAAGGCTTGGATTTATACCTATTCACAATTTATAACAATTTTAAATCACTGGTGGTAACAAGATCACTGTACTTACAGTAGTTGCTAGTAAGTGTTGCTAGATGTGTTTCTGTCACTGGATGCCCTCACTGCTGAAAAAAACAGCATATGCTGGTTAGGTATGTTTTGAAGCATAGCAGCTGGTTTGAGCTGGTTTAAGTTGGTCCTAAGCTGGGGTGCATTTCTCAAAAGCAAATATGGTCGTAAATTATGTCATTACCAATAGAGTTCAACGGAATTAACGACCATAGTTAGCTATGATGGTTTTGGGAAATGCACCCCAGGTTATCTCCTGCTCAGGACCAGCTCATAACCAGCTTATAACCAGTTTAAACCAGCTCATAACCAACTAAGGACAAGCTCAAACCAGCTGACATGCTTCAAAACATACCTAACCAGCATATGCTGTTTATTTTTTTTAACAGGGCTGACATCATTGGTAAGCTTAACTTGCCCTAGCTTTTAAAAATCTAATTACAAATTAGATGCACTGCAGGTAAAGACAAGAGATTCTGTCTCACAAGAGCTGGATCCTACGCTCAACTGTCTACACTTCTTGTGGTACAGTAGTTGCAACGTTAGAGCTTTGTTAAAATTTTTCAACTTCATCAGAAATATGACTACAAACTTAAGGGCTGGGGGTAGGAACAGGGTAGGCCTAAAAATTAAGATACAGGTTAGATGAAGGAAGAGGGGTCACAGGCAATATTTCTAACAGACATCAAGTGTCAAGGTTAAAACTAGGAGTTGGATTTCGGATAGAGACTACAGGTTAGATTAGTGTTCTTGAATAATATTTATCAATTCATTTCCCTCTGATTTTAGGGGTAAGTTACAGTAAGGAATTAGGTATTACAGAAATTCCTATGACTTTTCCAAGCCACTATTTCAAAATTCACTGGTACTTTCTCTTTCAGGTTTTCAACTTGTACCTCTTTCACAACATTCTCCCCCAATCTCTCTCTCTCTTTCTTTTGCAGGAGCAGTACAACAATTTGCCTACCCATACCTCCAACGAAGAATTTCTCACTGGAGCTAACTCTCTCTCCCCCACCTCTTTCTCTCTCTCTTTCTGAGCGCAATGTTTATATAGAACACAGAGCTCCTCTATCAGGCTCAGTTCCCTTTCAACTGCAGTTCACCAAACAAGCAGGAGTCCAGCCAACCGATTGCTCAGCATCTAACAAGGAAGACCACCAGAGAAAAAAAAGAGACAATTATACACAAACACTGAGCCTTGTTCATACTCACACATGGCCAGCATGTCCAAGTGGACATTCCTCCAGGCCATGTGTCTGGTGGTTTCATTGTCCACGGCAGTACCTGAGAATTATGAGGATGATATCGATGTGAACTTTGGACCCAATTATTTGAACGAGATAACTGAGGAGGACCAGATGGAAGGTGAGTAACCAATAAAAATAAATAAATAAATAAATAAATAAATATTCCATTGTGATCAGTACTGTTCGCTGTGAGTTACGGAGACATGCAAGTGGTGACAGGACAAATAAACTATCAGCATGTGTGTGGAAATGTCTTTCAGAGAGGTGTTACATTAGCAAGGAAAAAGACAAAGAAATACAAACAATATAACTCACTGTGTTCATGTGTTTAAACATTTGTGATTGCAGGAATATTTGTTGCAGTATTTGTTGAAGTGTAACAGAATTCATGTGTTGTGCCATGACATGACATGTTTGTTGAAGAGGTTATACTATGATTGTGTCTTGTCTTTGGAGTATACTGTATGCCTCTGACAACAGGAAAAAATCAAGGGAAAAAGAAAAATAGAATAAAGAAGATAATAATAATAATAAAAAAACGGATTCGTTTTTATTAACCAGATTGATCCAAGAAAAAAAAAATCATCAAATAATTTAAATCAAAAGAGATGATCATTATTTTTAAATTGAGTATTCTACCTTATAAGTGAAAATGTCCTTATTAACGACCCTAGATATGTGTCAGGGTGTTCAAAATATTTTTTAATCATGTGAAGAAATAGATTTTGCATTTCTGTTTGCTGGGATCATCCAATTGTTGCAGAAAACTGAAAAAGTTATTCTTTGGTTGAGTTTAATCAAACATTTTTTTCTGAATTCTATATGAGTTTTCCAGATCTAAGCATTTAATCAACTATGAATTGACTTAGTTGCAGTATTTCATTATTGGGTCAGTATCACTGTAGGGTGCCTTTTGGCGTCCTGTACATAAATAACTCATTTGCCATGATAACTTAACATAAAAATGACTATGAAAGGGTGTGTTATATTAAGCTAAGTTTTTATACTTATAACAAAAGCGTTACTTGGCTCTCTAGATACATTTTCTAGATTTTTTTTTAGTTTTGTGTGAGAGGATGCATGTTATTTTGCTATGTCCCATGCACTGCTCATTAAATTTGAATGATAGTAGAATATTGTCAAATCATAAAATAAAAAATTTGTTAAATAAGAGATTACTCAATTTGAGTGTATTGATCATTTGGTAATAAAAACTATATTTTTATTTAATAAAAAA